AACACTGCAAAAAAAAAAAAAAAATTGCATTGACCCATGCCACTTTAGTTTTGTGTATTTCACTGCACATAAATTATATTTCAATAAAATGCATTAAAAAAAAAGACTCAAATTGCACTATTAAAAGATTCTGTGGGAAAAATACTTAATGATTCAGGAAGCATCAGAAGAATGTGGAAATGATACAGAGTCACTGTACCAAAAATAATTAGTTTGATGTTCAAAAATTTCAGGAGGTAGCATAAGATCAAGAACCAATAGTATCGAAGGAAGAAGTCCAAGTTGCATTGAAGGAATTGGCAAAAAAACAAGGCTCCAGAAATTGACAGAATGTCCTTGAGATGTGAAAATGAACTGATGCAGTGCTGGGGGTCCTTACTTGTGTTTGCAAAGAAATTTGGAAGACAGCTACCTGGCCAACTGACTGGACGAGATCCATATTTGTGCCCAATACAGACAGGTGATCCAACAGAATGTGGAAATTATTAAACAATATCATTGATATCACATGCTAGTAAAATTTTGCTGAAGATAATTCAAAAAGGGTTGTAGCAGTATGTTGACAGGAAACTTCCAGAAATGTAAGCTTGATTCAAGATGACTTGCAATGGAGGATATAATTGCTGATGTAAAATGGATGTTGGCTGAAAGTGAAGAATGCCAGAAAGCTGTTTTAACTGTGTTTTATTGCCTATGCACAGGCATTCAACTGTGTAGATCACAACAAATTATGCATAACATTGATAAGAGTGCGAATTCCAGAACACTTAATTGTGCTCACGAGGAACCTATACATAGACCAAGAAGCTGTTGTTTGAAAAGAACAAGGGGATACTGCATTGTTTAAAATCAGGAATGGTGTGTATCAGGGTTGTATACTTTCATTGTACTTATTTAATTTGTATACTAAGCAAATAATCTCCGAAGCTGGACTATATGAAGAAGAATGTGGAATCCAGATTGGAAGAAGACTCATTAACAACCTGCAATATGCAGATGATAAAATTTAGCTTGCTGAAAGCAAAAATGACTTGAAGCACTTACTACTGAAAATCAGAGACTACAGTCTTCAGTATGGATTATACCTTGACATAAAGAAAATAAAAATCCTCACAACTAGACCAATAACCAACATCACAATAAATGGAGAAAAGATTAATGTGGTCAGGTATTTCATTTTACTTTTGGATACACAGCCAACACCCATGAAACCAGCAGTCAAGAAATCAGATTTTCTATTGCACTGCTTCAAAAGACCTAATTTAAGTATTGAAGAGCAAAAATGTCCCTTTGAAGACTAAGGTGCACCTAACCCAAGCCATGGTATTTTCAGTCTCCTATATATGTGAAAGCTTGGCAATGAATAGGGAAAACCAAAGAAGAATTGATGCCTTCAGATGACACAGTGGCTGCAATGATGGGGTCAAACACAGCAAGTGTTGTGAAGATGGCACAGAACTGGGCAGTGTTTTGTTCTGTTGTACACAGAGTTGCTATGATTAGGAGCCAACTTGATGGCACCCAACAACAACTTTCTTATTATTTTCAATTTAGATATGATAGGATATGTCAGGTCTTTATACTGTTTGGGAATACAGACTCTATTAGAGGTACCAGGGAGCCCCCCGCCCCCATGGTATCTAATTTGAGGCCTGTTTTTCCACAGCATCCTACCAGGCCAATACCTGTCCACAAAACCAAGAAGACCTCTGTTACAGTCCCTGTTCTCACAAGTGAGCCATTTATCAAGTCATCTGACATGAGAGCCTTTTGCACTACACCATCTCTCATCAAAAGACCTGCACTGAGTTTCTTCCTCTCACCTCATGGCCCAGGCAAAGGACACAAAGGATTTGCTGAATACCTCCATCCTTCTCTTGAGAGTTCTACCCTCATTTGCCGTGACAACCAACAGGCCCAGTGCTTGCTCCCATGATGTTTCCCAGTCTCTCACCAAGACACACACTGTAGGCAGCAACTTCCATTCTTGAGCATAAGCCAAGGGTCCTGATGTGGACTCAAAGCCCAGCTCACAGAATGCTATATGCAGATTGAGCCAGAACTCCAAACTCAGCCTCCAGGCACCAAGCAAAATGTTGTCCCAGGTTCCCATCCAGACTTGCAAGAATCTCTCCAAACAACCAAGACTTGGGCCCTTCCATAACCCCTAGAGTATCACTCATATAACTTGTTTAGAGGGTTGCCCAGACTCTACAGCTTACCCCCTGTACAAATAGACTTGGACTTAGAGGCTCCCCAAGTGATCACTATGACATCTGCTCTGGCTCCACACAACAGACCTCACCTGAATCCCATTCAAGCCTGTGCAGTCCATCCACTTCCACTGTCCAGCCATGATCCAGACCAGCCCCTCAGAAATATCTTCACCAGACTGGACAATGGACAGCAGAGATCCAGGTTCAGAATAGCTCCCACCTCAGTCTACGAAGCCTACACTTCCTGTCAGAGCCCTCATGTCCTCCAGGATTGTGAGCCACAGTCTCCCCTGACTCAGGTAGTATCCTCTATGAGGTTTCTTCCTCTGAGCAGAGTGACAGGGAGTGAGACCCTCCATGTCTGGGAAGACGACAGCCTCCAGTCTTACATGACTTGGGGGCAACCAAAGGATTGAGGAGTGGAAGATCCAGGGAGCAGGTTGTATCTGGTGAGCAGTACTTCTCCAGCCTTGGTACATGTGCAGATGGTGAAATGTCATATAATATTGGGATTGACACATACATACTGCCTATTCAAATTTTGTAAATTTAAGTTATACTTAAAATGGAACTCATGCAACTGTCATATATTTTGTAAATTAGATAATTTGTAAGAAACTGGGACAATGTATGGGAAATGTCAGACTATAATATCTTTATAAAGCTATGAAATACCTGTATATTCTCTGAAAATTATGGAATTTGGGAAACTCTGGGTAAAGGACTAGCCCATGTGTGAGAAAAAAGTCTGCATATTCTCACTGAGAGAGTTTCAGGGAAAACCATCCTGAAAGATATTCCCATAGCCTTGTACATTTTGTTATGGAAATCATTACAAATTTATATTATTAATTTATATCAACATTAATAAAATTTTTCTAAAATATCTTTTTCCTTATCACAATAGGCCAATTTTCTATTTTACTCATCAAATTTGATATAGCTGAATGTGAAGAGGATCTTGGTACTTATGTCCATGGACCTGTAGCTTATAATAAACACAGACTCTGAGAAACAAACAAGCCCTATGGAATCAAATCTGCATTTTATTAATAATTATGGTGATTGAGATACATATTAAAGTGCAATAACCATTGGAATCACCTGGTGAACTTTATTTAAAAAAAAATTTTACTGTGTTTTGGGTGCAAATTTACAGAGTAAAATTCGTTTTACATTCAACAGTTCATGTACATTTGATTTCATACCCGGATTACCATCCCCGACCATAACAAACTCTCTTCCTCTCCTGTCCCTGTGACTACTGCCTCCCTGTGCCCTTCTTAATCATGCACTCCTGTCTATCCAGCTTTCCCTCTATGTGAATGCTGTCACTCTGATACCCTGTGGCTGATTGCTCTAAGGGGTGTATCTCCCTAGAGTAGGTGGGTGAATCGCCTTGAGATAGGTGTTCTGTGTGTAGGTCTTTCTACTGTTGGGCTGAGAGCCAATCCGTGGGAGTGAATCCAATTCTAGGCCTGAAAGGTAACCTGGGGCCATAGTCTTGGGGGTTCCACCTAAACCAAACTAAAAACCAAACTCACTACCATCTAGTCAATTCGACTCATAGCGACTCCTCCTTGGGTTTCTGAGGCAGTATCTCTACGGAAGTAGACTGCCCAATCTTAATACTGATGTCTTTGTCCTATCAGCCAACCCAAATCCACAGCTGTTTAAAAAATGTGAAGAAACCCATATTCACTACAGATTAGTAAGTAAACACAAATAAGCCCGGGCTTACCTTGCTTATTGGATACTTCAGCTCTCCTGATGGAGGATGCATTGGAGGGGAGCTGGACACAGAAGCCCCAGCCACTGGCTGAGTTGCATGGATGGGGCCCACCTTGGGAAGGGAACTAGGCTGGGATACGTGGGTGGGTACATGGCTGAGCTGCAGAGATGAAAAGATGGAGACTTGATTCTGAGCCTGAGACCCAGAAGAGGATGCTAGTGGGTAAGTAGCTACTTTTTCCTCCTGGATCACTTGGAAAGGTTTCTGGAAGGAAGTGTTCTGCAGGACAAGGCCTGCATTCAGGCTCTCTCTGGCCAGTATACTACCCTGGAGATCTGGGCTTTCCTTTTTCCCCCACACTCAATACCCAAGTGAAACTCTAGAATTATCATCAAAAGACCTCAGCACCTAGACATATCTCCCCAATCTGGACTCCAGCCCTTGGAGATCATCTAGACACATGCCTTCTTATACTTGCCCTTGGGTGACCTACTTCCCTGCAGCACTTCCCTCTTCCAGCTTCCATCTCCTGTTCTCCTGCCCTTGATCTGTGCCAGTGGTAGAAATAGGAGTGGTCCCACAATAGACACAGAGAGAGTAGAAGTTTAATGAGGAAGACTTACATACCATTCTCATGCCTTGTAGAAGACTGAAGATGCACTTGCCCCCTCCTTGCTGCCCCAGTCTCAAAGTTCCAGGTTCCCATCTTTAACACTTTCTCCTGGGAGTGTGCTGATTTAGAAATGCCTCACTAAGTGGTGAATGCTGAATCTCAGAGGCCACTGAGAAGGGCTGTTTGTAATTATGTGCTGGCCAGATGCTCCCTGCTGGCTCACTGGCCTAACACCCTGCTCCTTTGGAAGATTGCCCATGGTTTCCTGTGAATGTCTCCATGGTAACAGTAAACAATCTTTGAAGCTCTCTTGGCTCCAGCAGCCTAGTCTTCACCACCCTCACTTAGACTGTTTAGATTATGGGAATTATGGTTGCAGGTGCCCATTTATGATCATCTGGAAACTTCTGTATGGGAGTCCACCTAGGTGACCATCCCTGTGTGAGGCCTGGGCCTCAAGGGGTTAAGACATGGAGCACTGCTGGCAGCAGTTACAAAGCTTAGGACCAAGTAGTGATAACTGGTGGAAGAGGAAATGAGAGGAAAGGAGAAAGTGCAGCTGGATCCTAGACATTCACTTGGCCCCAGAGAGCAGAGGCTGAATTGTACCAGGATCCAGAGAGCTTCATCACCAGGGAGAACTCAGGCTCAGTGCTACATCTTAAACAGCAATATTTAGCCTTCATATATAAGTTGCAAACCAACAGAAGGAGTCACAGCAGTGCTCTGACGACTCATAGCAACGCTCTGATGACTCTTGGGAGGTACAGGGTCAAGGGATTGAATGGAGGGGAGTCAGAATAGGCTGTTGGATTTTGTAATTTTTAATAAAATCAAATTTTTCTTTCCCAGAGTTCCCCAGCTGTATCATTCCAGATTCCTTATGGCAAGGAGTCTCTTGATCCCCTTCATACCATATCTTATTCCCACAGAAAACAGCTTTCATTTTTTTCCACTTTCTTTTTTGTTGTTTTACTTTTCCTAAAGACCCCTTCCTGTAGTGCAGCTTGTTCTCCAGGAATTGCCCCCTTTTTCCTGAGCCCTGGAGTCTCCACATTGTCTCCTGGCAATAGAAGGCTTCTAAACAAAAATCAACCAAACCCATTGCTGTCAAGTTAATTCTGATATATGGCGACCCCTTGTGTTACATAGGAAAGCTGAAAAAAAAAAAAAAATCACTGCTCATGGAGTCTATTTGACTCCTGGTGACCCCTCCTTGGGTTTCCAAGGTGGTATCGCTGCAGAAGTAGATTGCCCCATCTTCCTTCCAAGGAGTGGTTGGTGGGTTTGAACCACCAGCCTTCTGATTAGCAATCAAATGCCTTAGGTATTATGCTGCTCCATAGATTTTCCTTGGGTGAAACCTTTCAAGATTTTTTCCTTGTCACAGCTGGGTGGGTTTGAACTGACCTGGACCCACCTCAGTGGGTCAACTTTCAGCCAAGCAATAGACAGGCTTGTAAGGTGAACAATAACACTAGAGGTGTACACACTCTTAAGAACAATTGGCCCTACAAGATCAAAAGAGCAGTTTTTGTCTAGGGCTAAAACTCAGAAGGAAGGAAGAGATTGAAAAGAAGGATAAATGAAAATGGGAAACATAGGAAGGATGTGGGAAGGGTAATATTACACTGTACTGATTACAATCAATGTCATGAAAAAATGTGTATGAACTGTTGAATGGAAAATCAATTTGTGCTGTAAAGTTTCATTCAAATCATAATAAAAAGGTAAAAAAAAAGATGTCTGTATAACCTCATTCTTTTATTTATTGTGGTAAAATATATTTTAAAAATTTACTACTTCAACCATTTTCACATATACAACTCAACATTAATATGTTCAAAATATTGTGCAATCTTCACTACTATTTGCTTTCAAATTTGTTTACCATCACTCTTAATAGGAGTTGAGCACTCCATAGGCAATAATTCCCCTTCTCCCGTCACACCCTCCTGGTAACCACTAATAGACTAATACACTTTGGTCTTTATGCATTTACCTAATCTAGATATTTCATATAAGTGGGATAATAGAATATTTCCTTCAGCATAAGGTTTTCAAAATTCATTCACAGAAGGGTATGTATTAGATCATCATTCCCCTTTATGGCTAAATCATGTCTTTGGTTTGGGGATGAGAAGGAGTCATGCATACATGGAACTGCAATGTTTTCTTGTCTCACATAGTTTTGGAATCCATGTTCAAATTGTCCTTATGTTCAGTATCTGGATTACTCAGAGGCTGACCACAGCAACCAGGACATGGGGTCTTCTGGGAAAAACACAGGATGCAGGTATGGAGGTGACTATGGAAGGCTTAGCATCCATGTATCACATCTGGGTTCTTGACTCTCCACACAGATCAAATATGGGGTGACCCAAACCAGTTCCTCAAAGGCAACATGGATGGGCCAAGTCTGGAGCTAGTCCTCTGGAGGTAGGAGGTTGGCTGAATCTGCAAAGGGAGAGAAAGACACATTGAGAGCTCCTAAGGATATCACCAACTCTCTCCCTGAATCTTTGCTATCTCACCTGGCCCAGGAACTATATCCATTCTGAACAAGATAGGGAGAAATCCTTCAGGACTACTGGTATGTGTTGCTGAAGAGCAAATAGGAGAGACAATCAGAGAACCCTCAGAATGGCAAGCCCTTTGTGCTGATGAGCAAAAGGAATCGAGGGGTTGGAGAAACTGATACCACTAACTAAAGAACCATGAAGAACAATAAAGAGACAAACCTGAAGAGACTTCATCCTCCTGCTTATAGCCCAGGATCCTGTGTAGGGTATCTCCATAAAGAGATGGCAAACGTTTACTCCTTGGTCTCTGGTTGGCCTCATGGATAGTCCAATATAAACCCTGCAGACTTATCAGCATGTGTAGACATTGTTGCCAGCTGTTCTGTATGCCCCTGAGCTTGAGTTTCTTGGAAATCGCTTTTGAAAGGACATTATTCCCGTTTCTCATTTCCAGGTGTATCTCACATTCAAGGAATTCCTATTCTTGCAGAAAATTCTGGATTTCCTGGTCAGCCCAATTTTTCCTGGTTAGTCCAAGGTTTAGGTCTAGAAGAGATAGAGGAACGTGGATAACGTTTGACATAAATCACAAGCACGTTTGAAGGTTTCTCAGAGATTCTTCCTGTGCAATTACAGGCCTACCAGCCACTCCACAGAAGGAAGACTGGGCAATCTACTTCCATAAAGATTTCTAGCTCTGGTAGCATAGTGCCTAAGGCATTTGACTGCTAACCAGAAGGTTGGCGGTTCAAACCCACCAGCCACTCCATGAAGGAAAACTGGGCAGTCTATCTCTGTAAATATTTACCACCTCAGAAACCCAAAGGGAGTTGCTATGAGTCAGAATCAACTCGATGGCAGCGAGCTTTTTTATTTTTGTTTTTTTGGACATGGTTAGTACCCAGTATTGAAAAATGATAAAACCATAAGTGAGAAGTTCAGGGACTCAGCATCTACCTGACTTATTATGGCTATAAACCATAATGTAATTTCAGAGAATTTGAACAGGGCTTTGATTTTACATTTGTGTGAAGGGTTCTCCTGATGTGGGGCTCCAATCCTACCCTAAAATGAGGGCCAGTAATTACCTTCAGGTCACTGGGGCTGTGTTGACAGAGGCAGAGAATTCCCAGAAATGCTGAGT